TTTTTTGTATTTTTAGTAGAGACGGGGTTTCACCATGTTGACCAGGATGGTCTCGATATGTTGACCAGGATGGTCTCGATCTCTTGACCTCGTGATCCCCCCGCCTTGGCCTCCCAAAGTGCTAGGATTACAGGCTTGAGCCACCGCGCCCGGCTAGTCTCGAATTTTCGACCTCAGATGATCCGCCCGCCTCGGTCTTCCAAAGTGCTGGGATTACAGGCGTGAGCCACCGCGCCCAGTCCAGGAGATTTCTTACAGCTCAAAATTTGTAAGGCAAAGCGATCACTACAAATCTTGTGAGAGTGGAGAGAGACGCCGTCTCTCTAAGTCATGGTCGAGGCCCCGCCAGACCCAGCCCCTTTTCTGCCCAGTAGCAATCACCATCAACCCGCCAATTCTGATCCCGCCCCTGTCTTCCGGGTTCAACCTCTCACTTCCTGCCGGGCCGAGGCTCAGGCCCCACCTCCGTCTTGTTTGGAGCAATCCAATCGAACCTGGAGGGCTCCGCTCCGCCCCATACCACGCCCCCTCCTCCAGGGGTAATCAGAATCAGCTCAGGCCCCGCCCCTGCCTCGGGCCACCGAGACCACGCCCCTTATGTTTTGGCTCAATCAGTCTGCTGCCCCCGCCCCCAAAGCCCCGCCCCGTCGAATCTTAACCCTGCGCTGTTTCGGCAGCTGCATCTTGGGGACTCCGCCCCGCTCTCGTAACTGCCGCCATGGCGGTCACCCCCCAGGGCGCCCGCAGGAAAGAGCGCGTCCTCTGCCTGTTTGACGTGGACGGGACCCTCACGCCGGCTCGCCAGGTAGGACCCTGAAGTTTGGAAGCTCCTGCCGGGGGTGTCACGCGGACACCCCCGAGGCTGAGTGTGGGGTCTGCAGCAGCGTGACCGTGGACACCCCGGGACCGAGTGTGGGATGTGGCGTTACCCGGCCACCTGACTCGGGGCTGCCCACCTGGTCCTCCACGTCGCTGCCCCTGCAGCGTCCCTGCCTGTGTTCTGCTTGGGAGTGCTGGAGTTGGATACAATACTGGAGGGAGGAGGCTGCAAGCGGGGGCCTATCTCCCTTCCCCAGAGGCTTTCACGCGCCACCGAGGCCTGGCTCCAAGATGCACCCCCGTCCGAACCCGGGATCCCACCCTAGTTCAGCCCTACGATGCACCAGTGGTGGGAGTTGGCTTCTGAACGGGGAGTTCCAGGCACGCAAGCACACAGCCAAGCGTCAGTCACCATCTGGTGGGAGACGGGGGATCTAGGAGCCATCCCACCCCGACCTTTGCAGGTCTGGGCCTCCCCCAGCAGAGAAGGGTTCTTTTCGAATGCTTTTATGGGCTCTACCCACCCAGAGGTGAGAGGCTCCAGGCCTAGTCTGTTTACTGTGAGGACACTGAGGCATAATGAGGATATGATTGTAGTTTTCCTCCTAAAGGCTCTCGCTGTGTTGAGCCTCTTAACGTTGGCTCAGTTTTTCTCCCATTGGGTCTCATCCTGAGTGAGTCCCCAAAAGCCCCCTCACCAGCTGGATGCATGAATAAGCAGGCTTCATTCATGCCCTCCCTGTGGGTAACTCACCTTCCAGTCTGGGGGCCTTAAGGACCAACTGACAGGTCTAGAGACGGGGAGCGGTGGGGATGGGTTTCACTAGGCAGTGGTTGATGGGAACCCAGGTCTTAGCCTCCTCTTTTAGGTCCTGAATGCCTTTCCCCATCCACTTTGGTGAAGTTGCCTTGGCTTGGGCCCTGGGGGCTCAAGGAAGGATCAGCCCACTCTGCCTTCCTGCAGGGGTGATCCAGGAGGAAGATGGCAGGACTGGAGTGAAGGTGGGCTGGTTGAGGTGGCTCACTCCTGTAATCCTAGCACTTTGGGAGGCTGAGGCAGGCAGATCACCTGAGATCAGGAGTTGGAGACCAGCCTGGCTAACATGGTGAAACCCTATCTCTATTAAAAATACAAAAAATAGCTGGGCATGGTGGCGCATGCCTGTAGTCCCAGCTAGAGGGACTACAGAGGCAGAGGCAGAATTGCTTGAACCTAGGAGGCGGAGGGTGCAGTGAGCCATGATTGCCCCATTGCACTCCAGCATGGTTCACAGAGTGAGACTCCATCACAAACAAATAAAAGAACTGGAACAGGGGCCGGGCGCGGTGGCTTACGCCTGTAATCCCAGCACTTTGGGAGGCCGAGGCGGGTGGATCACGAGGTCAAGAGATCAAGACCATCCTGCTCAACATGGTGAAACCCCGTCTCTACTAAAAATACAAAAAATCAGCTGGGCATGGTGGCGCATGCCTGTAATCCCAGCTACTCAAGAGGTTGAGGCAGGAGAATTGCCTGAACCCAG